GTATAGTATGCATCTTTTTGTGAAAAGTTAAATAAATATATATGTATATACACATGTGTCGATTCATACATATTCTGTTTTCCCATTAAAATACTCCATATTTATTTTTTTAAATTGTGGTAAAATCTGAACACCATAAAACTTACCATTTTAACCATTTTCAAGTGTGCAGTTGAATGCTATCAAGCACATTCACATCACTGTGCAACCATCCCCACCATCCATCTCTAGAGTGTCCCATCTTCCCAAACTGAAACTCTGTCCCCATAAAACACTAACTGCCCATTTCCACACACCCCCCCAAGCCTCTGATAACCGTTGTTTTACTGTTTGTCTACAAATTTGCATGTTCTATGTACCTTACATAAATGGAATCATACAATGTATTTGTCCTTTTGTGTCTGGCTTATATCACTTGGCATAATGCCTTCAAGGTTCATCCGTGTTGTAGCATGTGCCAGAATTTCCTTCCTTTTGAAGGTTGAATAACATTCCTTTGTATGTATATACTACAGTTTGCTTATCCATTTATCAGTTTTTTTTTTTTTTCTGGTATAATCAGAAAGAAAATCTGGATAGATAACTCGAGGTGGAGAGTCAGGAATTAGGCAGTTGAGGGAAAGAGGAGGCTGGGAGAATTGCTTTTAAAATATTCTTTTATACATACATATACACATATATATTGATTTTTAAAAACACTGAGCATTTTATCAATTCAAAAGCTGTTTTTAAAGGATCTTCTGGGCTGTGGTGTGGAGAATGGATTGTAGGGGGCGGCAAGAGCAGAAGGTGGGAGCGGGGGGGGGGGGAACTGGTGCAATACTCCAGCTGAAAAACGCTGGTGGTTAGATTAGTGTGAGGACCCAGAAGGTGTTGTGAAATGGTTGGGTTCTGAATATATTTTGCAGGTCAAGCGAACAAGATCTGATTAGTTGTGAGGTATGAGAGAGAGGAAGTAGAGATGACTCCAAGATTTTTGGCATGAACAGACTTATCTTTGCTAAGATGGGGAAGATAGAGGGGCGAGTGGGAGTGTAGAAATCAAGAACAAGGGTTAGTGCGTCTTCAACACCTTCTGAACATTGGCCGATTTCTGTTGGTCAGCAATAGCATCCAGCTAGAATATAACGACAGTCCCCCCTCCTCCATTTGCTTTTGTGTTGCCATCTGGATTGGTGGTGATTCTTCCTTATATGCAGCAGAAGTTGACTCAGGGTGATTTAAGCTGCAAAGGAATTTATCGGGTGGATATATTGGTGGCTAATGAAATCACCAGCCTTTGAAGATGAAAAGGGACAAAGTAAGAGTGCAGGCCAGCAGCTAAGGCCACAGCTTAAATCATTCTCCTGAAACCAGCCGGCACCTCTGGCTTTTGCTGACAACCCTGGGCGCTTGCAATGCCTCTGTCCCTTCTGCTCCCTCCCTTTCTTGATCCCTCCTCCTTTGGGTGGTGGGTCCTCAAATCTAAATCTGTACATCTGCTGAGTGGAATTGGGGTCACTTGCTCGCTCCTTAGCTGCAAAGGAATCTGAGGGAGATGGCCTGGTATTTTCCTCACATGGAGAGTGTCTGTGAGTATGGGGTTTGGAATATTGTATGCCCCACCCGTAAATAAGTGAGTTTGGCTTCACTTATGGTGTCTATGATGGCTTTTCCTTCTTGGCAAGAAGGTAATTAGTCTTTTTTTTTTTTTAAGATTTTATTTGTTCAGGGGCGCCTGGGTGGCTCAGTTGGTTAAGCATCTGCCTTTGGCTCAGGTTGTGTTCCCAGGGTCCTGGGATCGAGTCCCACATCGGACTCCTAGTTCAGTGGGGAGCCTGCTTCTCCCTCTCCCTCTGCCTGATGCTCCCCCTGCTTGTGCTCTCTCTCTTTCACTCACTCTCTCTGACAAATAAATAATATTTAAAAAACTTAAAAAAATTTATTTATTTGAGAGAGAGTGAGTGAGAGAGAGAGAGAGCATGAGCAGGAGGAGGGACAGAGGGAGAAGCAGACTCCCCACTGAACAGTGAGCCCAATGATGATGCCCCAAGGGGCTGGATCCCAGGACCCTGGGATCATGACTTGAGCAAAAGGCAGATGCTTGACTGACTGAGCCACCCAGGCACCCCAAATTTGTCTTTTGAAATAATTTATTTAAGGGAGTTTCTTGAAAAACAAAGAATGTTGGACATAGAAATCAGGATGGTGGAGAGCTTTGGGGTAAGGCAGTCAGCAAATATCAATAATGTTCTAATGGTGGAGTCTGATGGTGGGGTACTGTGTGTGCATTTTGCTCCCCTGCTCTTTCACACACATACATTACATCAGTCGGAGTCCTGGATGGAAAGAGATAGTACACTCAAAGTGGGTAATTTGGGGATCAATGAAGACAGGGACAATTATAAAGGTGAAGACAGAAGGTGCGTAGCCCTACTGTGGATAGTGCAGTGTCATCCTGCGGGCAATTGTGGGGCCCCATCACCATCTTTAGCTGAAAGGGGCAAAGGGAAGGAGTGGTTCTCAGAAACTGGAGCTGGGGTCTCCTATGGATGGAGAGATGCTGCTAATGCACAGTGACCCCCATGGAGGGAGCTTGTGGGAGAAATACTCTGGTCTTTCTCCTCCCAGACTCTCATCTCCTGCTGATGCCTCCTACTGGCAATCCAAAGACTTCTTGCATATGTGTGCTTCATATATTCTTTTTTTTTAAAAAGATCTTATTTATTTATTTGACAGAGAGAGACACAGCGAGAGAGGGAATACAAGCAGGGGGAGTGGGAGAGGGAGAAACAGGCTTCCCGCCGAGCAGGGAACCCGATGCGGGGCTCGATCCCAGGACCTGGAATCATGACCTGAGCCGAAGGCAGACACTTAATGACTGAGCCACCCAGGCGCCCCCATATATTATTTTTAAAACATGTATTTAATTTTTACATCGAGATATAATTCATATACCATAAAATTAAGCGCATACTTCAGTGGTTTTAATATAATTACAAGACTGTGCAACCATCATCATGATCTATGTTCAAATATTCTTTTGCAGATATTCCAATATTGCTTCAAAAATCCAATGTCAGGGAGGGAAAAGAAGGGGTTCATTTGACCAAAAATATTAAGTAGCCCCATTATCTCTGCACTGACTCAAAGAGACCTCTTTTGCAGACCCTGGACTCAGTTTCTCTTTCCCTAGAAGAGGTTACTAGAGACCCCTGAGGACCAGCATAGACTTTGAGTTGGACAGACCTAGGCTTGATTCCTGCCCCTCCCCTCTGCTCTGGACAACCTTGGTTTCCTCATTTTATGAACTGGGCAGGTTCTGAGTACCTCTATCTAACAAGGTTGCAAGAGCAAACATTAATTAAAACACCTTCACCTGGAGCCTAGCATTCCAAGGTGGTAGCTAAACACGAACCACACCAAAAGCTCCAAGTGAAATGGAAAAACAGTGCAGCGTGCTTTTCCTATCATTTCAGTGTTGTTATTGTTAGCTCTGCTTTCTGGAAGATGACACCAGGAAGTCACCTGCCCAGGGTCACCCAGTGAACAAGAAGCAGGGTCAACACTTATACCCAGAGTCCATTTGTTTCCAAACTCTCCACACGAGGGCCAGGAAACTTGGACCCCTATTGCTTTTTAAATATTTTTAATTATGATGAAATATACACAACACAAAATTTACCATCTTAGCCATTTTTAAGTGTACAGTTCATTAGTATAAGTCCATTCACACTGCCGTGCAACCATGACACCATCCATCCACAGAACTCTTTATCCTGCAAAATTGCAACTCTCTCCCCACTAAACATTGACTCCCCACTCCACCCCGCCTGGCTCTCACCATCTACTTCCTGTCTCTGTGGATTTGACTCCTCTAGGGACTTCATCTTAGTGGGATCAGACATTATTTGTCTTTTTTCTGTCTGGTTTATTTCACTGAGCATAATGTCCTCAAGGTTTATTCATGTTGCATCAGGTGTTGGAATTTACTTCCTTTTTAAGCCTGAGTAATATTCCATCGTATGGTTATACCTCATTTGGTTTATCCGGTCTTCTGTTGATGGACACAGGGATGAGTTTGCTTCCACCTTTCAGCCGTTGTGAGTAATACTGCTATGAACACGGGTGTGCAAATATCTCTTTGAGACCTTGCTTTCAATTCTTCTGGTTAATACCCAGAAATGGGATTGCTGGGTCACATGATAATTCTGTTTCATTTTTTGAGGAACTACTATACTATTTTCCATAGTGACTACACCATTTTACATTCTCACCAGCAGTGCCCAAGTTCCAATTTCTCTACGTCCTCACCAACAGTTGTTATTTTCAAGAATTTTTGTTGTTTGCTTGGTTTACTTATAGTTGCCATTCTAATGTGTGTGAAGTGGACCTTATTGTTTTTTAATTTTTTATTTAGACATAAGAAATTGAGCTTCATTAAATATTTAATACAGTGATTGCTAGTGGTTACAAATATATATTTTATGAAAAAATATACATGCACTGCTGGTGAGTGCACAAACATTTTGCTGAGGGAGTGTGTGGCCAGAAAAATCTGAAGACCCCTTAGTCAACTCAGTTCTATGTGGAGGGGGTTTTAGATCGTCCTTGTATTCCCAGGTCCAAGATAATAAAGTCCAGAGGTTGAATGAGGCAATCTATCTCATCTTTCAAGGTCCAGCCCCAATGTCCCCTCCTCCAGGATGCCTCCCTTGCCTTCCCAGATAGCTCCAGCTCCTTACTCTGGGCTCCTCAGCCCAGGGTCCAAGGGTCCCTCTCTGTGCCCCAGCCCAGACCATGGAAGGGTGTGTGTGTGGATGCTGAGGAATTTCTGGGGTCCCAGCAATGCCCAGGCACAGAATGGGTTAGGCAGAGTTTGCTGAAGGAAGGAAGATAGGAAGGAAGGAAGAAAGATAGGAAGGAAGGAAGGAGGGAAGGGTCTGTACTGGCCTCTGAGATGGGTGTACACTGAAGAGGCCTGGCTGCTCAGAGGTGGGGAGGGTTGGTTGAGGCTCTGCTCACCGGGGCCATATTCGGAAGCGGAGGCAGCCGCAGGCCAGACATCGAAGGCCAAGGTTGAGAAGGCGTGTCCAGCGGAAGAGTAGGCAGTGGGTGGCGCGCACGTACAGGCTGCCTGAGGGGTCCACAGCCTTGAGTGCAGCCAGCGGGGTGTAGCGGGCATTGGTCTGTCGGCGCAGGGGTGGTCTGGTTGAGCCGATGACCTTGACAATGACCTATGGGGTGGAGCCCTGAGCTCTTGGATTCAGAGTGGGGGGCTTGCAGGGTGGGGCACCCTCACATACCTGAGCCATGTCTTGGGGCTCTGGGTTCCCCACTCACCTGGGCCACATCCTGTGGGCTCTGTCCTAAAGAGTGAAAGAGCTCCCTGGAGGTGGGCAGGTAGAAATCCCGGAAGTAGCGCAGGGTGTCGGGGTCAGTGTCTGGGAACTCGGCTGTGGAAAACTGCTCCAGGAGCTTCCCCTCAAATTCAGTGACCACCGGGCCAGGTTCCACCAGGGTGATGCTGGGGACATCGGTAGGGGTGGGGAGGTCTGGTATCCCAACCCACTCGCTGCCCATTACTGTCCCTCTCCTCCTCTCTCCCCCCATTTCTCTCATCATTGCTTCATCCTTCCTGGTTCCCCCAGTCCTTCCACTACCCATCCCCTCTTCCAATAACTCCATTTCCCTCATTCCTGATTCCACTTTCTCACCACTGCCTTGTTTTCCCACCATCACCGCCTTCCCAGTCTGCTTCCCCCCCACCGCCTCCCCTTCCCTCATCTTTCTCCACCACCTTCTCCCATGCCCCTCCCTCACTACCCAAACGCCCGCCTCACAAGATGTGGAACTGCAGCAGCTGGACAGCCAGACTTTCGAAGAATCCCTCCAGGGCGAACTTGGAGGCTGCATAAGCTTCATTGAACACGACACCTGAGAGGATTGGAGGAGGTTGGGCCCTTTGGTGTCTGGGCGATGGGCTTGTGGGTCCAGAGGGACATGGGGTCTTCAGGAGACAGAGCGAAGAGGGTTTGAAGATCAGAATGGGGAGTATCTAGGGCCAGCATGATGAGTGTGTGTGTGAAAGGAGCATATGCTGAAGGATGAGCCCACATGCTCAGGATGAGGCTCTTGGGGTGACGTACACTATGTCTTCCCAGTGCTCCATTTGCCTTAGCCCTTGAAAATTCTACTTCCCTCCATCCTCTAAACCTCTGGGTCACTTGAGCATAGGATTGCTAGGGTCCCTGAGGGCAAGTTCGATTCAGCACAGTTCTTATCTGTCCTTATTGAGAGTGAATGTGGCCCCTGAGGTCGGGAGGTGCAGCTGGAAGAGGGGCCAAAGGGTTGGGACTGAGTCGTAGTTACAGGTTCCCCATGGTGGGGCAACAAATAAGGTGGGTTCGTAAACAAACAAACAAACAAACAAACAAAATAAGGTGGATTCTTCAGGGGGCTGCTGAGGAAGTGGGGGCAGATCCCAGGGAAGTTCCGGGGGGGGGGAAGGAAGTCTAGACAGATTCAAGGAGGAAAGACCCAGGAGCATGGATGGCAAATAGGTGGCCTCCATAGTAGGGCCAATAGCAGACATCACTAAACAATTACTGCTCTCTTTTTCTGAAGAACCTCAGAGCCCCAAAGCTATCTCTGGGGCTTGGTTAGAGAAACATCAAAGAAAGGAGTTTGTTAAGAAAATGTCACAGGAAAGGAATTCTGGGGCACCTGGGTGGCTCAGTCTGTTAAGCGTCCAACTCTTGATCTCAGCTTAAGTCTTGATCTCAGGGTTGTGAGTTCAAGCCTTGAGTTGGGCTCCACGCCTGTGGAGCCTACTTAAAAAAAAAAAAAGGAGTTCGTCTGATGGTTCCTTTGGTTTGGGGGAGATGTTTGGGAGAGGAGAGGGGGGAGGGTCAGAGGGAGAAGCAGACTCCCTGCTGAGCAGGGAGCCTGATGCAGGGCTCCATCCTGGGACTCCAGGATCATGACCTGAGCCAAAGGCAGCCGCTGCACCAACTGAGCCACCCAGGTGCCCCAAGGGAGAGATTTTTAGAGGTGTCCAGAAGTAAGGTTGATGCTGGATGTGGATGCCCATTGGCAGCATTTATAATACTACTTCCTATTCTTTCGGCACAGCAGACATAATCTAATCTAGAAATGTGTCCTATAGAGCTTCAGAATCCTTCTCAACACAGGCTCATTTGGAATATGAACTAAAACCTATTTGCCATTCTTCCAGCCTGGGGAGGGTCAAATGCTAGGAGGATTCCCAGGGGTGGGTCCCCAGGGCTTACCCTGCAGCCCCATGACACTGCTGACCACCACAATGTGGCCCTTTCGCCTTCTCTTCATGCCAGGAAGGACAGCTCTGACCAGACGGACAGCCCCGAAAAAGTTGGTATCAAAGACGTTCTGCATGGCAGCTAGGCTGATCCCCTCCAGGGGCCCCACCAGGCCCACTCCAGCATTATTCACTAAGGAGGGGACTGAAGGTTACTTTGAGGTCCCCCCAACCCTTCTAGTGTCACTCCTCTAAGGACACTCCCTGAATTATCCCTCCCCCTCCTCCAAATTCGGGGCCAGTCCAGAGTATCTTGTTGGACAAATGTGGTACCCTGATGATCTTTACATAGAGTTTAGCATTTGTTCTGGGGACCCTGAACCCTGGGTTGGAGGAAGGGCTGCTGGGAGCAGCCTCCCCTTAATGCAAGAGCAATTTTGCTCTGACCCCAGTTTGCATCAAAACAGCCACACCCACCTCCTTAGAAGGTCTTTGAGGGATCATGTGTTGCTTCTTCATCATGCTCCCTTCCCCAGATGACTCATCAAAGTAACTTTTCCAACTACATATGGTTTTCCCCAAACGTGAGATGTTCTATTCAATAAAATCCACTCCCAGGACTCAGTTTATTTCTTGTAACCCTGATAAACTGGTACCCTGGGCTTTTAGCCAGCTTGTCTATCCCTTCTGTCCAGAGCTAGCTGTTGCTGGTGAAGCAAGAAGGCTGGTGCTCAGACCCTGGAGAGGATTCACTGTAAGGAGGATCTGTGCTTAGGTCAGGGAAGTGGGGAGTGACCCCAGGGGCTGTTCAGTCTCACCCAGCACATCCACTTCCCCTCCCTGGATGCAGCTGAGACACTGGGCCACTGACTCGTCACTGCACACATCCAGCTGGGCCACGGTGAGGGTCTGCCCCAGAGCGTCCCCAGCAGCTTCCTCCAGTGTCCCCTTCTTTCCCAGGTCCCTCATGGTGGCCACCACTGGGGACAGAAAAAAGAGTTGGGGCAAGCACTGGGTTCCTTTCCCCTGAGCATTCACTTACATATCTCCATGATCTTGCATGAGCAGTCACAGAGGGATGGAGAACCACAGGTTTACACACCTATGTTCACTACACAACCACAAATGCATATTGTGTACATACATTTACATGTACTTTCATCCATCCCTCCATCCAACATTTACTGAGCATGTACTTAGTATACATTATGCCCTATTCTAGGTGCTGAGACTACTGCCTGAAATAAGATAGGCAAAGTCCCTGCCTTCATGGAATTTATAGTCCAGTGAGTAGGGCAATAAAGTAAATATAGAACATATTGCCTTGAGAAAAGAAATGCTTACATACTTAGGGTCAATATATGTGCATTGTGTGTACATGCAAATACAAATAGCCACATTTATATCAACCACAGAAATGTCAATTTATTGAATATCTACTATGTGCCAAGCACTGTGCTAAACACTTTTATAAGTACTGTCTCTAACCTCGCGAGAACCCTATGATTAGGCAACGGGCTTATTTTCCAAAGGTGGCCACAACTTCTTTCATCAAATATGCTCTTTGAGAACTTTGCTGCTCCCCCTCAAGACATGAAATCTCATTTTCTTCTCTTTGAATCTGGAGACTAGCTGGGAATTAATAGAATATGGTGAAAGTAACATTGTGTGGCTTCTGGGATTAGGTCGGAAAAGGTATTGTAGTTTCTGCCTTGTTTGCTGTAGCGTTCACTCTTTTTCTTTTTTTTTTAAGATTTTACTTATTTATTTGAGAGAGAGAGAGAGAGAGAACAGGAGTAGGGGGAGGGGCAGAGGGAGAGGGAGAGAGAGAATCCCAAGCTGACTCCACTCTGAGTGTGGAGCCTGATGTGGGCCTCAATCTCACGGCCCTGAGACCATGACGTGAGCCGAAATCAAGAGTCGGATGCTCAACTGACTGAGCCACCCAGGCACCCCTGTAATGTTCACTCTTAAAATCCTCAACCACCTTGTAGTAGCCCAGCTATCCTGAAGCCACCATGCTGGGGGGAAGCCCAAGCTAGCCAGATAGAGGGACCACATGGAGACCTGAAATTATTAGAAGGAGGAGAGATGCCTGCCCAGGCCTCTGACTAGCCCCCAACTGTTCTAGTTGTAGCCTCTGACTCTGAGTGAGAACTGTCTAGCTGTGCCCTTCCGAATTTATGACTTTTGTTAACCATGAGAGATAGATGGTTGCCGTTGTTCTATTACACCAGAAATTTTGGAATGATTTGTTCTTTAGCAATAGTAGCCAGAATAAGTAGGTAAAGTTATTATCCGTATCATAGAGATTAACACATTGAGGCTAAGCAAAATGAAGTTCCTTGTCTGTCCCACCACTAGTAAGTGTTAGAACTGAGATTTGAACCTGGATTTGTTGGGAGTGCTGAGCTCAAACCCCTGTATACATGTTTGTACCCTTCATGCATGTACCCACAATCATACGTGCACAGCCCCGGGAGGCATGTTCATACAGTCTGTGGGCCTGTGTGATTCACGGGTGTTGCACAGATGAAGGGGACCACATGCATACATACATGTGACAAGTGTGGCCCCAGGGGCTGGGTTGCTTGGGTCCAAATCCAGGCTCTGCCACTTTCTGGTGGGGTGACTTTGGGCAAGGATCTTTGGCATTCTGTGCCTCCGTTTCCTCATTTCTAAGATGGGGCTAACGTTGGTGGCCACCTCATAGGGGTGATATGAGAATGAAAAGACTTACTAGATGCACAACACTTAGATCAGAACCTGGCACATTGTAAACACACAATAAACATCCTTCAGCTTTATACACTCATCTGCCTGTCCACAGGGACACACACAGCACAATTGCTTCTCTGCACACTGGCACTCAGTCTGTCACATCTAAAGCTGTGTGTGTATCTAAGACAGAGGGCAGAGGGTTGGGAGAAGCAGCTCTGCCAACTGGGGCAATACCCTTGCCCCCTGCAACGTCCTCTTAAGTAGCGGCCCTTTGCCCACTTCAGCTCCAGCTTGCTCTGGGTCAGAGGTTCCCATGGGTGGAGTGCAGACTGAGGCAATTTACTCCAGAGTCGCAGGAGGCTAAGTCCCTAGATTTAGAGGTCCCCCTTAAGCCCCCAAGGTCAAAGTCACTTAAGAGGTTTATCTTGGAGCAGTAATCTGAGGAGGGGTGGGGGGGAGTCCTAGGGAATGCCTAAGTGGAACCTTAGGGAAGCCCTTCCCACACGCCCTTTAAAAAATATCACCTACCCCCCACCTCCTACCATACCCCATCCTTACTTTACTTTGCTTCTTAGCACTTATTAGCACTAGACATATTATACAATTTAAAAAAATCTGTTTATTGTCTGTCCTCGCTCCCCTCCCTCACTACACCACAGCTGAGGGCAGAGATTTTTGTCTGTTTTGTTCACAGCTGTGTTTCCAGCACCTAGAACAGTGCCTGGCACCCAGGAGGTGCACAAGAAATATTTGTTGGATGAGGGAATGATTCATGAGCAGAGGTGGGAAGGGGGCCTCCACGTGTCCTGGGTCCTCCTCAAGCCCACACATACAGCTGATGGGATGGGCTAGTGGAAATGGTGCCAAGAGGGCTGAAGGTCCTCAGAAGCCATGCCCACCCCTGCCCCTCCCGGCCCCACCCCGGGCCTCTAACCTTGGTAGCGCTGCCTGTGGTCATGAGCCAGCTGCACTGCGAGCTCCAGGCCAATTCCCGAGGAGCAGCCTGAAATCAGTACAGTCCGGGGTGCGTCGGCCATGTTGATCCCTCCCTGGATGGGTGACCTCTGCTGGCCAGCACCTGCCTCCCGCCACCCATCCTTGCCTCATCCTCCCACCTCCTGGACACCCTCCCACCGATCCCTTGCAAGGTGAAGGGGCCCCAGAAGACACCAATTCTGAACTGACCCTAGGCAGGCAGCTGGGGGAGGGGGTAATCTTTTAACCTCAAAATAGCCTCTTTCCTTTATCTGTCAAAAATTTCTTCTCACGGCTACACTCACAACTAGGGTCTTTTTATTGTGACTGTAAATCATTCAGGGCTGGGGGAATTAGCAGGGGCATTCTCTCCCTGTCTGATCTGGGCAAAGAATCTCTGGTGGGAGGGAGGGAGTGAAAGAAAGTGACAGAGAGTGTGGTCCCGGAAGGGTCTTTCAAAGAGGAGAATGGGCATAGATATGTCAGATGATGGGGGTAGACTAGGAAGAACTTCCCAGCAAGGCAGGGCAGGGCACTCTCTTTATGAGAATCTTTTAGCAGAAGTCTTAGCCTCTGAGGTCCCTGAGGAGGGAGGAGGAGCAGCTTGGGGAGATTCCCTCTCTTCTCCCCACCCCACAACCCCCATTTCACCCTCAGGCCAGATGGGGCCCCACCCCTTCTCCCCAGGGACACAGACACTCTTTGTCCGTGCAGCCAGAGGCTGGGAGGGCGACGCCGCCAGCTTCTCCCTCTTCCCCATGGTGGGGCAGTTCAGGGCCCAGGATACGCCCCTTAGGTTCCTCCCTGCAGAAGCTCCCTCAGATCCCGCAAGTCTGCGCTTGTTCAATTGCACAGACAGCTCCTTGTGACCCCCTGGGGGGAGGGAGCTTCACAGTGGGGGGTCCCAGTAGGGTGAGGGGCAGCTCTACCTCACCCCAGGAATGGCATGGATCCACCTCTCCCTAAGGCAGTTCCCTGCTTTGATGTAGGGCCAGACTTCCCCATTTAATGGTGGGGCATATGTGAAGATTTGGAATTGGGGCTAGGGCATCCATTTGGGGACCTGAATGAGGGCTACGGATGGAAATGGGACCCTTTATTTGAAGATTAAGAGTTTGGGGGAAATTGAGAACTGTGTTTTGGAATCTGCGTCAAAGGTTCGGGGGTGAGGCCAGGACATCCAATTCCGGAATTTGGGTGGAGAAATGAGGGTTTGGGGTAAGGCTGGGAACGCCATTTTGTAATCTGGTGGGAGGTTGGAGGTGGGATGAGGGTTCTTTATTTAGAGACCCGAAGGGAAGGCCTGGGATGAAGCTGGTACCTTCCATTGTGTGGCTAAGCCACTGCGGTAAAGCAAGTGGGTGAAAATTTGGCATCCAGGCTGAGACCCCATCTGGGGGCCTGGGTGAGACAGAAAAGATTTGTATAAAGCTGTGTAAAGCCTTAATTCCAGGGCCTGGATGGAGGCTGAAGGTTTGAACGAGGCTAAGATCTCTTTTGAGGGAGGGTGTTAGGAGGAAAGGGTTTGGGGTAAGTCTGGGACCCCGAATTCTAAGGCTGAGTGGGAGTGATCCTTTTCCTCCACCGTGGGGTGGGGCGAGAAGGGCCCCGCTCCCGGCCCAGGGCTCCAGCCCTAGCCGGCCAATCAGCACTCAGCACAAACTTTCCCAACTCCCCCACCAGCTGTCAGCCACCCTCCACCCCCCCCTCCAGCGAGCCCCGCCCGGCCGGGCTCTGGAGCGCAGGGCGAGGCCAGGGCGGGGTCTCCTGCAGTCTCCTGCGGATCCCGAGTGAAGCCGGCCGCGGCGAGTGAGTGCACGGAGCCTGAGGAGTCGCCGCGCCCCGTAGACGCCCCGGCCGGTCCCCGCCTTGCGTGTTGGGCCCAGCCGGGATGGGGAGTCGCCAAGGCCTGGGCCAGCCGCGGGCCGGCCTCTGCCTGCTCCTGACTTTGCTGCAGCTTCTGCTCCGGACGCAGGCCGGTGAGCCGGAAAGGAGATAGGCATAGGATCAGGAGTGCAGGATCTAGCGAGGTCCCCCAAAATGGGGTGGAGTCAGGAATGGGGGGCGTGCTGGGGGGGCGTGAGTGTCGCGCGTGGCTGGGGTGCTGTGTTCCGGCGCGTATCCGACTCTGGGCGATTTGTGGGTGTGACAGCTGGGGGGAGGGGGGAAACGTGTGACCGGGTTTTACTGGTGGATGCGTTGGAATGAATGCAATTTATAAGTGTGTGTGTAGCAATGTGTGTGAGGCCATTTGAAGTGAATTTGTGTATGGGAAATTGGGTGTGGGAGTTGACGATTATTGTATGAATATGTGTGATGGGTGATCCCTGGCCAAGTGTGTGATTGTGAGTTGTGGGTGTGTCTGTGTGGGGCTGACTTAGAGAATAATCGTGTGTTACGTGTGTGATTGTCTTTGGGTGACCCGAAGAGGGGTTTGGTTGTGATCTGGGGATGTAAATAAAGGCCCAGGAGGACGTGAGTGGATGTTTCTGGGGGTGATAGTGAGTGGATGTTTCTGGGGGTGATAGTGAGCGGGGACGAGTATGGGAGGGGGCTAATCGGGGATTGTTTCCTTCGCATGTCCCCTAATGGCTTCGTGCATTCTTCCTCTCCCTCCTCTGCCTCCAATTGGCGCTCCTCCACCTCCTCTGCCCCTGCTTCTCTCCCCTCCCCCCACCCCGCGCGCCCCCGAGCCGCGATCAGCACCATGGACAGGGCATCGGGAGGGCCGCGGTGAGGGGCGAGGCGGGGCGGGGCGCGGGGCGGGGCGGGGCGGAGCGCGGGCGGGGGCGGAAGTGGAAGTCGCTGCCCCCAGCCGAGCCAGCCGCGGGTGTTTTTCCTGAGGAATTTCTCAGGGGCCTCAAGGGGTCCCGGGGGCCGCCGGACGAGTGAGTCAGCGCTGACGCACGCCCAGCTGCGCGCTTCTGGCTGGACGCCGCGCTCCGCCCCGCAGGGTTCGGGGTTGGGGGCGCCCAGGGGTTTGGGAAGGTCCGTCCCTCAAGTGGCATCTCTGGTCTGAGAGAGGCTGGGCTAGGCCCTTCTGGAAATCCCTCCCTAATGTGAACTCAGTCCCCCAACACACACACACATACACACACGCAGACACCGTCCTACACTTTCTCACTTTCTCTGGAGTCCAGGGAGGTGCCTGCCTGCTCACGTGGATTATCCCAAATTGGCCCATGTCCCATTCCCATGCTCACACATCCACACAGTCGTGCAATCTCAGGCCTCCATTCGGAATATAAGCCCTCTGGGACACCAGGAATGTTAAACACCGGTGCCCGCGCCCCAGACAACCCCAGCAGCCACCCGCCATAGGGTCACAGCCTTTGTCACCCTCCTACGCCTTGCAGCTCCAGCGCATGCTTCCGCTGGTATCCACACAACCCTGTCAGCATTCACAACCAGTCACCTACTCGACGACTTGGCCATACTCTCACATATAACCACATTCCCATCTGGAATCTGATCTATTACAATCACAGACTCACCCGCATCACCTGCTCACTGCCAGGACCCAGGACCCCAACTCACATGGACTCCCAGCCACACACCAAACAACAGCACCTAGTCCTCCATCGGAGTCCAAATACTTGGCACGCACTGACATACCCACAAATCACAAGCTCAGCCATTCCCTGGTCCATATAGAGTCACACCCATGCTTGCACAATCTCATGCCCGTATACAACGGCACACACACACCTATGTTCTCCTGCCTTTCTGAGGAGATCCCAACCATGTTGCACCTAGTCCCCTGCCTGCCTCCCTTCGTATCCTAGACCCCATCCAACATCTCCCTGGGGCCCTGACCAGCACAGGGGAGAGTGTGAGGGAAGGTCAGGCAGGGTCCCTGACAAACCCCCACCCTCTGGCCCTGCAGGCAGGACTCAATGCCTCTTGTGTGTCTCCTTGTCACAAAGCCAGCCATGAAAAGAAAGGGCAGTCAGTTTCTGAAAGGTCATTACAGAGGAGATGCAAGATTGAAGCAGGAGACATTTGGGTTAGGTGCTGAGAAGGACTTTTTCAATGTGAATGAGCAGCTGGTTGAGAGGACACCCCTTCCCCCAGCACAAAGACAGGGGTCTGGGTGAGGGGAGAGCCACACTGTATGGGGTCATGGAGCTCAGCCCTCCACTGGGCCCCAGCCTGGAGAGGGGGCAGCTGGGATGATCATTCCATGGGGGAGTGACCCTTGTGGTTGACAGAGCCTGGGAGCTCAGATCTTAGTCCCAGGGGACTGTAACCCAAATACCTCTTAATGACAGCCCAGCCAGAGAACAAGCAATTAGAGTGGGGGCTGGTGGCTGCGGCAGAATTGGGGGGCGTGGATGGAGGGAGTGAAAGGGGGAGGGGGAGAGCAATCCACACAGATATACATATGAAATACCAAAAGACAGAGAGAGAGAGCTAGGAAGTAAGAGAGAGAGAGAGAGACACTGATTCAGAGTTGGACGCAGAGAGGGACCTGGAAAGACCAGCACAAAAAGTGGGGCAGAGAGAAAGGACAGGGAGGGGGAGAGAAGAAAGAAAGAACAGGAGTTGAGGGCATTCCAGCTGAGGCTGGAATAGGGGTCTGTAAGGTTTGGAGAATGAAGGATCTGACCCAGGGGGAGCCGGACGGGGGTCCCTCATCCAAGCCCCTGTCGCCCCCAAGTCTGGCCCCCCACCCTGACTCCCACTGGTGAGGTCAGCAGAACCGCCCCCAGGGTGAGGTCATGGGCAGATTTGACAGAACTGTCTCCTGCCAAGAGGCTGGGTCAGGGGGTCAGTGGGACAGTCTGCTGGGGGGAAGGGAGAGCAGGCAGGGGCTTTGGGCCCAGGGGAAGCCCCCCCCCCCTGCCCAAGCCATGTGGTTCCACTTAACACTGGCCTGCTGTATGGGGTGGGGCTGGAAGGATGGCCTGGATTTGGATCTGGTTGGGCCAGACCAGTTCCTTCCTTTCCTGGCATGAGAGGGATAGGGTCACAGGGAGGAGGTCGGGAGGTTATTAGAGAGAGGTGGTCACAAGGAGGAGGTCAGAGAGGGTGATAAAATGGGGAGGTCACAGGTCAGGTAGCGATGACTCGGATAGGCAG